GGGTGTGTTGAGTGGGCACGCTTCCGGGAAGGGCTGCGAATTCTGAGCTTTAGGTGGAAGTCCCTCCTCGCCCCTCCCCCGGCCCCAGCCTCAGCGGTTTGGGGTCTGGGTTGGGGACACCGGCTGGGCGAGGAGGGATCCTGCCCGCGCCTCTCTATTTCTCTGCAGCTGCAACTGGAGAATTTCTGCGCCAGAGCCGCTGGTGTGGCAGGCAAATACGGGGGTGGTGGTGATTGGGAGGGGTGAGGTTGGGGCATAGATTCTTGGGGTACAGGGCTCGGAAAGTTGCATGTGCCACGGAAGAAAGGTACATATCTGAGAAGGCCCTGTGAAGTTTTAGTAAGATTCTCTCATTAAGATGAAGGTAGTGGTGGGAGAATCAAGGGAAAAAACAGTGGCCCCCCTCACTGCAAAACGGAGATGGTTTAATTTTAATGAGAGAGGGAATATTCGAGGGCTATAGGAATCAGGCACTCTTCCCCCTCTGGTGAGACACCCTCTCTCCAGGGTCAAAGAAGCTGGGACTTGACTCTGGGCCAGGTTTCTTTGCCCTGCAGGCTGGGCAGCCTAGCCGATTCTCTGGGGGTTGCGCTCACCAGAGAAGTGGAGATTTCGCCCAGTACATACTTTCCCTCTACAGACCAGGCTGGCTCAAGTGAAACGGGCTCTGGGCTGGAAAATCTGGTATCCCCAGAACCCTCTTGTTTTGCCCCCATTCTGTCGCTGCCCTGGCTCTTGGGTGCTTGCCTCTGTTGATGGTCCTCGCTTGAAAACCCACATTTGGCACCCTGTAGCTGAACACAGCACAAAAACCAAAGATCAAAAGCATTTGTACGAGCAGTTGTGCGGGAGGTGAATATTTAACGCTTTTGTTCATCAATAACTCATTGGCTTTGACCTGTCTGAACAAGTCGAGCAATAAGGTGAAATGCAGGTCACAGCGTCTAACAAATATGAAAATGTGTACCCTCACCGTGTCCCCACCCGGCCCAGCAGGCTCCCCCAATTTGTCTCAATAAAGCCTAGGCCCAGTGTCCCCAAGATGGCGAGTATGTGGGAGCACTTGACATTAGGGGAAGTTGGGGAAAACCTCCCTGGGACAAGAGAAGTGGGCTTGGGGCAGCCTCAGAGCTCTTGTTAGAATGAGCACCAGGAAATCCTACAAAATCGCCAAAGCACTGGAACCAACGGATTGGGGTGAGGGGAGTATGCAAAGTGCATTGTAGAAGCAGGCAGCCAATTTTGCCAGGCTGGGGGGCACAGGGGAGTCTCCCTGCTCCACCCCACCAGGCTGAAACTAATTTTTGAAACATGAGGGGAAAATCAAAACAAAAAAATTTTTTAACACCTCTGACCTACAGTCAGGGATCCCAAAGCCCCACTCGAGCCCAGGCATCCCTCTGCCCCTGAAATTCATCCGGGCATTCAGTGCGTGTGTGTTCTTAGTGCCCTGAACTGAGAGGTGAGCCCCAGACAGTGCTGAGGCACTGGGGCAGGCACAAAACTCATGAACTTTTGTACTCTTGTGTGCTGCTGTCTGCAAAGCAAAAATAATGAAACTTTGTGATATGTTTGTAAATGATTTCGAATGACCCCTCACCCTGCCCTTCACTATTAGTACGCTGGCCCCAACCCAGGGCAGCTCCATGCCTGCAAACAGCGCCTGCCTCAGGGTCTGCAGCAGCAGCAGTAGCAGCAGCAGGACGGAGAGGCCAGCCGAACTCAGGGCCCAGGAAGGTAAATGTGCGACTTCTTGAAGAACTAGCTTTGTGAGCCAACCTGGCTTGCCCCGACCTGGGAAATATAATGAATGGAAGATATTCCTCTCTTCCCTTTCTTCTACCACTGAGGGCATTTGCTCCTCTCTGGAAAATATCGCTTGATAAGGGGAGGGGGTGATGTTTGGATCTGGAGAAGGGGGAATAATAAAACCACCATTTCTGGGATGAATTAATTTTTCTTCCCTAAGAAGACTGCCCTGGCTTCTTGGCTGCTTGGTAACCCTGGCCCTGGTACAAGGATGGGGAACTCGTTGCTGCAAATTGCCACCAAGCCCTTCAGGCTACCTGAACCATCTCTGAAAATGCTGGTGGCTGTGTCAGGCTGGTGGTGGCTCCGAAGAAGAGGCCAAGGCTGGCAGCGGTCTGGGTATCCAATTTGGGTGGAACCTGGAAGTAGTAACGTTGTCTATATATACCCTGTAGAACCGAATTTGTGTGGTATCCACATAGTCACAGATTCGATTCTAGGGGAATATATGGTCGATGCAAAAACTTCACTTTTCTCCAAAATAGCCTGAGTCGGAAGGAGAGGCCAGAAACAGCCAGGGTGGGTCAATAGCCTTTTTTCTCTTTTATTACGTTGGACTCCAGGAGGATCGCCTGAGCCTCGTGACACAGAGCACCCTTTTCTTCAAGAAGCCCTTCACCTTTATACAGAGGCTCCTGTGTAAATCCCTAATTGGTTGCATGAATTCGGGGCCAAAAGGCTAGGTTTTGGGTAACTGGGGGACTGCAGTGGGAGGCTGGGTAGCCCCAGCTCTGCCCTCGAGGAGCAGGAGGTTGGAGGGTGCCTAATGAGGGGCTTACTGGCCTTTGACTGCCGCGTGAGAAGGCGGCAAACTAGAAAGAAGGAGTGCAGAGTTCTTTGGGTCCATTTGGGTGTGTGGGGTTGCCCTCACCACCTTCCTGGAGCACCCCTCAGCTGCACGGGCTGAGGCAGGGGAAGCCTCTTGCCATACCCTAAAGGCCCAGCTTTCGCTAGGAACACCCCAGCCTGGGCACTCACAGAAAGCTTGGTGGTTACTCATTGCCTAAATTGATTCAGGCCAGCTAGATTGTGGTAACTTTTGGGTGACCCTGAGGAGGACAAAGCCGGGAATCAGCCTTTGTATGGCAGAGTCCCCGTTCCCGCTGCTGGGCTGGCGGGAGCTCTGCCTGCTGGGGTACTCTGCCCAACTAAGAAGCTGCTTTGCCCACCAGCCTTTTGGTGCCTACACCCCAACAGATACGGGAATTTATTCCCCTTTGAGCTGTGCCTACTTTGGGGGGCTGTTTTCAGGCAGGTCGGTGAGTGGATAGGGCACTCGAGGTTAGCAAAGTCAGTGGCAGACAAAAGCTGGAATTACCTGCGGGGGGAATGAGGGTGCCGGGGGTTAGAAGTACAGTAACATCTTGTGGGGGCCCTCGAATGCGCCACAGCGAGTCACTTGATTACACGTATGTTATTTAGTTAAATTTGTGAAAATTATGAGATGCTCACCAACCCAGTGATAAACTCGCTCCCTTGCTATTGGCTGGCGTGGTCACATGGCCACCAACTTTATTCAGTTGACAGCAAGTAGGAGGGTCCTATGGAAGGAGAAAAAAAGACAACACGAGAAAAATTAGTATTTTCTACCTTCTGAAATTAATGGCCATGAGTTCGTATATGGTGAACTCCAAGTATGTGGACCCCAAGTTCCCTCCGTGCGAGGAATATTTGCAGGGCGGCTACATAGGCGAGCAGGGAGCCGACTACTACAGCGGCGGCGCCCAGGGTGCTGACTTCCAGCCCCCGGGGCTCTACCCGCGGCCCGACTTCGGTGAGCAGACCTTCGGAGGCGGCGGCCCTGGTCCAGGCTCCGTGCTGCCCACGAGGGGTCACCCGCAAGAACCGGGAGGCCACTACGGAGCCCCGGGAGAGCCGTGCCCGGCGCCCCCTGC